CCTTTGGTTGAGTTTCGGTCGCGCCGAGGTGGACCTATTCGCTTCCAAGGAGACCACGCATTGTCATCGGTGGTTCTCCATCACTCATCCAGCCCCCCTGGGGTTGGATGCTATGGTGCAGCCGTGGCCGAGGTCACGTCTGTACGCCTTTCCCCCGATTGCTCTGTTACCAGGAGTTCTGGAGAGGGTCCGCCGGGACAGGGTCAGTCTACTACTAGTAGCCCCGTTTTGGCCGGCCCGAGTATGGTTTGCGGACCTGATTTCTCTCCTGGACGGTTCTCCTTTGGAGCTCCCGGTCAGGAGGGATCTACTCTCCCAGGCGGGCGGCACGATACTTCACCCCCGCCCAGAATTGTGGAAACTGTGGGCTTGGCCTCTGAGGGGGCCCAGCTCATAGACTCCGGTCTCTCAACCGAGGTTGTTGAGACCATTCTTAACTCCAGAGCTCCATCCACGAGGAAGCTTTATGCCTTGAAGTGGAAACTTTTCACTTCTTGGTGTGGAGAACACCTGCAGGACCCAGTTAACTGCCCAGTGGGTGCAGTGCTGGAATTCCTGCAGGAGCGCTTCTCCACAGGGTTATCCCCCTCCACACTAAAGGTGTATGTGGCGGCACTAGCTGCTTACCACGTCCCTTTCAGTGGAGTTTCTCTTGGGAGACACCCGCTTATAACTCGTTTCCTCCGTGGCACTTTGAGGCTGAGGCCAGCAGTTCGTACGAGGGTGCCGACTTGGGATCTGGCCATTGTATTAGAAGGTCTTTCCCTAGCTCCTTTTGAACCTATCGAAGAAGTTCCCGAGAAGTTTCTCACTTTTAAGACTATCTTTTTACTTGCTATCTCTTCACTAAAAAGAATTGGAGATTTGCAGGCTCTGTCGGTTTCACCCTCGTGCCTGGAATTTGCACCTGGCATGGTTAAAGCTTTTCTGCATCCTAGACCAGGTTACGTTCCTAAGGTCCCTACTAATATCGTTAGACCTATGGTTCTGCAGGCTTTCTGTCCTCCTCCATTTATGTCATCGGACCAGGAGAAACTTAATTCACTCTGCCCTGTTAGGGCATTAGACGCTTATGTCCACAGAGCTGCCCTGTGGAGGAAATCAGAACAACTTTTTGTATGTTTCGGGCCACCCAGGAAAGGGTGTCCTGCGTCTAAACAGAGAATGAGCAAGTGGGTGGTCGAGGCTATCTCACTTGCTTATGAGTCGGCTGGCCAGCCTTCACCTTTGGTTGTCCGAGCTCACTCTACCAGGAGTATGGCTGCTTCTAAAGCTCTTTTGTCGGGGGTTTCCCTGAGTGATGTTTGTGATGCGGCTGGATGGTCTTCACCGCATACTTTTATTAAGTTCTATGACCTAGACTTAAGCTCTACCCCTGGGGCACAGGTGCTCTCGTCCTCTGTGCGCTAGTCTCACATGACGGTCATTTGGTCCTATGGCGACGTGGGTATTCGCGTTCCCGCAGCGTTTGACGCAGCTCGAAGTTCCCTTGAAAGGGAACGTCTCGGTTACGTATGTAACCCTAGTTCCCTGATAGGGAACGAGACGCTGCGTCGCTCCGCCATACTCCCGGCACTCCCGTTAGCGCTTCCTTCAAGCCTATCAGAAGCTAATGCGCTTGTGTTTTTGGGGTGCTTTATAGTTTCCTGGTCGATGACGTCACCCGCCTATGACGTTTCATCTCTCCATTGGGCTGATTCCATACGTGCTTCATGACGCACAACGCAGGGGCGTTCCCGCAGCGTTTGACGCAGCGTCTCGTTCCCTATCAGGGAACTAGGGTTACATACGTAACCGAGACGTTAGTGCATATTTATGTTGGCGTATAACTGCCTCACCCTCCGATTTTCAGGCTCCTGGAACTCAATGGCAACATGTCCATGTTCAACAGGTGCAGATGGGAGCTCTCTAGGTTTTGGCAGTGGCTACTTTGCCAAACCAACATGCTGGGGAAGCTCCACTCCTTGTGGCAAGGTGTCCCGGTCAGTTCTTTTCTGTCTGTCGAGAAGCCTGGGAAAGAATAACACAGACATTTTTAGCTTTACCCACAGTACATTCACAAAACATCGCTACTGATTTGTTTTTATAAACTATGTACACTAAACTATTCAAAAACGATCCATCACTTCAATACTTCAGCATTAAAGGAACACGCCGACTTTTTGGGACTTTAGCTTATTCACCATATCCCCGTAGCACTTCTACTTTTACGGAGTGATTTACTCCAACTCTGAGCGAACTCTCTGCTCCTCACCACGGGGCTTCTCAGGTGCTGTGAGCAAATCACTCTGACCAAGTAGCAGTGTTTCGCCTTCTGAGAATATAGTTCCCAGTATGTATATGGTTAGAAGATGGCTGTCTCATGTGACCTTGTTATTTGTACACGCTGTGACTATACAAATCACAACATGTAAATAGGAAAATGTTGGCGTTATTTTGTCACTTATTGGGAGCAGTATGCTAGCTGGAGCCAGTATTTGTGCTAAGCTAGGCTAGCGGTGGGTGCGTCGGACAGAGTTACGCCACGCACGGAGATGAGAAAGGTATGTATGGACTTATCTAACTCTGGGGGATACGGTGAATAAGCTAAAGTCCCAAAAAGGTTAAAGTGTTCCTTTAACATTCAGCAATATTATCAATCTGACTATACTGACATTATTGGACAAGAACTAAACTGATAAAATTACAGCTGATTTATAGCCGAATTGACCTCATTTCGTAATTGATGAACTTTGCAGGTTGTGAACATTATCAGAGAAAAACGGACCCCGAAATATCTCAACTGACAAATCAGAATCAAGCATTTCAGAGAGCTTTGTAATAAGCAATAACGTATTCTAAATCGTAACATTCTGAATTTCTGAAAAGCTTTTGTGAAACAATGTATGCATTTATTACCAATTTTTTTAAATCCTTTTTTTTTGGCAGACATAAAAGTTTCAAAATGAGACAGGGTGTCTGAAAACAATGTATACATTTAATGTATGTTATATACAAATACATGTGGAATTGAGAATAGTTCAATAGATTTATTATTTCAGAAGTGCAGTCGTTCATCATAGGAATAGATTTCATATTACTGAAGTGAATTTAGGAAGCTGAAATCCAACTCACCATGAAGACACTGTGGTGTTGTTTATAGTAACTAGCACCAAGTTTGTCCGGTCCAGTATCTCTCTGCAGTCTTCAGACAGCTGCTTAATGTGGCTATACGTCATCACAATTGCCTGAGGAATGGGAAAGGTTTTGCCCTTGTTGTCTTTAGGCCTATTTCTGGCTTCCCTGAATTCATTCAGAAGCTTGAGTGCGACACATTCTAAAACCCTGTTGGCATCAGATCTCTGGGCAGCCTGACCATGAGTCATGAACAGTCTGTGAATAAAAAGATGCATGATTGTATTATGTATGATTAGTATTATATGGTTCATTATAGGTTTGTAAACATATAGACTGACTATGTTTTTGAATTTTATGGCAATGAGGGATAGACTTTATGATCTATCCTAGATCTCATCAAAATAGTTTTCTAAAGTGTTTTAAGCCTTTGAAAGGAATTAAATTACACAGGGAGCATTCAACAAGACTCAAATTTAACACCGGTGCATTACAATTTAACTCGCCTCTCAGCTGCTTGCTGACCAGGGGCTGAGCCACTACGCTTCCGAGAAGATCTCCAAGGACCTGCCAAGATCTTTTTCTTGCACTTAAGGGAATATTTTGAGGGGGACTGATCAATGTCATGCAAACACGAATACAACCGCAAGATCTCTGCTATCTCATTGGTCGATAAACCAGTGATCGTGCGGTTGAGACTGACGAGGCACCCTGCCAGGTTATCCACTGCCTCCCATCCAGGAACACCCCTTGAATCACATCTACTGTCCTGAAAATGGAAACAAAATCAGAATCCTGCATTAAGAAATAATTTATTAACAGTTCTTTGATTAACCATTCTTCACAAATTACAAGCATCAATAATTAGAAACTTTACCGGAGCTGGTGTGCTGGGCCCAGCACAGGAAATGTCTTCAATGTCAGGACTGTAAGAGCCACCACTTGGCACACTTGGCAATTATTTTGAAACATTTTTAAGAGAAGAATAAGCTTCAGTTACAAAATTGACTGCTAAAAGTTTATTATTATTAATCTGTTAATTAAATGAAAGTGTAATCATGAAGCAATTCATTAATTGCTCCTAAAAACTAACATTCCTATGCAATTTTAATTAAAAATGATCAAGAAAATGTACATTACCAGAGGTGAGATCAATGAATCCCCATGACTGCTGGAACTTCCCAGGGTGTGTGTGCCCAAATTGATGTCTGCTGCAGGCCTTGTCTTTTCCTAAGTTTGAATGACAAAATAAAGGCAAGAACCAGTTTATTTGTAGTGCACTGACAACAATACATAAAATATATATAAAACACTTAAGATAAATACTTATGAACTTACAAAATTTGAGCTGCAAATGATAACTTCTCACTCATTTAGAAGTGACCTATAACATCCTATGACATTATATTCATCTAAATGATCTCATGGATGTGGCTGTTGTGGTTTATCGTCATAGTGGCAATATCCGCAACAGTAAATGTGGCATATTCAAACGATTTACAAATGCACAGGAAGCGATTCACAAATCAATGCCAGCCAGAGTTGTGTTTGTGATATAAAACACATTTGTACATTTTTTATTTTATTTTCAAATCTCATTTTATTCATTTGTGAATTTTATTAATTTTGTGAAACTCCTTACCATTATTTGTGAATCTCAATAAATTCATTTGGAATAATGCAACTATTCTATCCCCATAGATTGTAAATGTGATGAGCATCTGCTAAACGAGCAGCAACCCCAATTCACACCTTCAGTCAGTGAAGCCGCTCCCACTGCCATTTGTGAGAGTTTAAATGCTGTGGAATATACCCATCTTCCCACAGGAGAAGAAGCAAGCAGGAGGAATTACTCCAGGAGAAACTACTGACATACTATTGAAAAGATGGAGTTTGAGGAGGAATCCTGCAGAGTAAAAGATGAAGATACAGAGGAACAAATTGGTTGGTGTTTTCCATCATTCTCTTCAAAGACTACTGAGGAATAGGTGTGTAACGGTTCGGTTTTTATCACGGTTTTAGGATGTTCACACTTGACGTGTTTGGTTCAACTATAAAAAAAACCTGGCTCGATAACACTGTTAGTGGGGTTCATTTGAATAAGTATGAACGCTGCCATCCGAACCCTGGTGTGCACCAAACAAGCGGGCCGAGAGCGCTGAAAAGATGGGTCATGGTCTGCTTCCAAACAAACTCTGGTGCTGTTCAAATTATATATGTAAACAAATCAAAAACAGGAAGATGAGACCCTAAAAAGGACAAAATGCTCACGCATATCATTTTTTTCTCATCATAGTTGTGATGTTTTCCATCAAAGTTCGGTACCAGCATCAGAACCGCATCTCCTCGCAGCAGATCTTTTTTTGTGTGTGTGACGGAGGGATTCCTGCCGCTGTTTTGACTCCTTTACACATTTTATAAGCTCTTCACGAGTTCTCAGCTGGTCAAAATGCCATCATATGTAGGCTACACACAAACAATGAGTGCATTTATCCCAGCACACTGCATTGGATTGGATGTTTGTTTGGTGTTAGTGTTTTTTTTGTTTTTTTTTTAACAGAGAACCGTTACACCCTTCCTGAGGAACATTAAGATGAAAAATTACATAAAAATATATCTAAAACTAGATATACTAGTATTAAACTAGATGTCTGCTAAATTGTGATTGAACCATATTCTTTTCATTTCTCATTTATCCTTCTTTATTGAATTTGTTGATTTTAGACCTGATGGAAGACAAACAGAATGAAAATGAAGTCAATTCAAATAGTGAAAAGAATTTCACACAAAAACGAGCTGGAAAAACTGGAGTCAAAGGATCTTTCACCTGCTCTGAGTGTGGAAAGAGTTTCAGGAATAAATCAAACCTTAAGAGACACACGAGAGAACACACTGGAGAAAGACCGTTCTCCTGCATTCAATGTGGAAAGAGTTTCACTCAGAAAGTAAACTTAAATGATCACATGAGATCACACACTGGAGAAAAACCGTTCACATGCACTCAGTGTGGAAAGAGTTTCATATATAAAGGAAGCTTAAATGATCACATGAGAATTCACACTGGAGAAAAACCGTTCACATGCACTCAATGTGGAAAGAGTTTCGTACATAAAGGAAACTTTAGTGTGCATATGAGAATTCACACTGGAGAAAAACCGTTCACATGCACTCAGTGTGGAAAGAGTTTCACCCAGAAAAGAGTGCTCAAAGATCATCTGCTCTCTCACTCTGGAGTGAAGTCGTTCAGCTGTGATCAGTGTGATAAAACATTTCTTTTGGCATCAAACTTAAGAGCACACCTTAAAGTTCATGCAGATGTGAAGCCTCACATCTGTTCTTTTTGTGGAAAGGGTTTTTCACTACTTAATGCTTTTAAAGTGCATGAGAGTATTCATACTGGTGTGAGACCTCATCTGTGCTCTGACTGTGGGAAGACCTTTATTTCATCCGGCACCTTAAAGAGACATCAAAGAGTTCATACTGGAGAGAAACCGTACAAGTGCTCACACTGTGAAAAGAGTTTTGTTCGGTCAGAACACTGGAAAGCTCATGAGAGAGTTCATACTGGAGAGAAGCCACACCAGTGCTCTTCGTGTGGGAAGAGTTTCATCCAAATGTCTCATCTACAGGTTCATAAGAAAAAGCATTGCCCAAAGGTGCCTAAGTGAGCAAACTTTCATGTTCAGATCTAGGTGGGCGATATATCGGCAGACACAATAAACTGGTAGAACAGGGGTTTCCAACAACATTGCTGCAGCCTCCCAACACGGCACATTTTCCATGTCTCCATTGTCTTACACACCATTTTCAGGTCTTGTGTTCTCTACTATTAAGCTGATTAAGTTGAATCAGGTGTGTTTGTTTGGGGAGGCATGCAAAATGTGCAGTATTGGGGGCCTCCAGGAACGTGGTTGGGAACCACTGCGGTAGAAATTTGTCAACTGGGAGAGATTTTGGACTATTTTCTCCACATATGACATATATGACTCTTTAGATGAAAAACAAAGATTTTTGGAAAAAATAATCCCTCTCTGTATACAATGCACAGAACATGCAAAGTTGATCCTTCAAAAACTTCTAAAACTAAAGTGAACAGCGGTAATCCATACAACTCCAGTTGATGAATCGATGTCTTCTTAACTCTTTCCCCGCCAGCGTTTAAAAAAAAGTTGCCACCGCCAGTCCATTTTATTCTAGCTTCATGCATTCTTTTTTTATCTACACATGAATGTGGGTAAGTTTCATAACAAAAACAAAAAAACATTTTAAACAAAAAGCAGAGAAAATCACATATTTGTCAAAGACTTCGTCTGAATCGAATTCAGAATGATGATCAAAACATAGATGGAGTAGATCGAGCCCATCAACACCCCTAATGCTTGCACAGTCCTATAGAGTTCCGGGGGATGACGTTGTTATGCGACCGGAAACCACGGGCACCGCCATTTTGGCAGTATTCGGCATACTGGCAGACTGTTGTGGTGAAGGCGGTTAAACATGGTCGATAACTGTTGTGCACCAGGTTGCACAAATAAACGAGGGAAAAAGAAAGGTACGTCGTTTTACCGCATTCCTAAAGATGCGGAGAGGCGAGCTAAGTGGATCAGTGCCATTAAAAGAGCCAGGAGCAAGCAAAACAAGACTGAAAGATGGGACCCCCCAGCCGTTGGATTCCGCTTGTGCAGCGATCACTTCATATCAGGTAAGTTAGCGAATACAAAGCTTACTAACTTAAGTATTCATTATTTAATAGTATAACAGTTAATTGTGGTTTCTGGTCAGTTTAATACTAGCTAGTTGAATTATAGCATGCAATTCGTGGGGCTAACAATGTCATGTTTTGTAAGCTAGCAAGTGCTAACGAGTAAACAAAACCCAGTCCGACACTGACATTTTTCTATTTATTTTGTAGGGAGAAAGAGTGATCATCCTTTGAGTCCGGACTTTGTTCCATCTATTTTCAACTACGTTCCATCTCCAGAGAAGAGGAAAAGAAAAATGAGACTGGAGGTTTTCAACAGACGACAGAAAGCAAAGCTACAGAAGATAGAGCAGACAAAGCTATCTGCGAAAGCCATCCCTCCCAGGTGAATATATCAAACGTTTCTGAACCTGTTCAACCCCACTTCCATGGATTTTAAAATTCATTGTAGGTTTAATCACTGCATTTTGGCTGCATGTGATTGTCACTGTCATTATCAATATCAATCTATCAATAATATATATTATGATGTAAATTATTAATCTAGTATATACTGCAGAAAACAGAGAGTGATTGACAAAAAAGTCAAACTGTCATCAGTTGTGTACATATACTCTTAATCTACTAATATTCTAATTCTAACCTAATATTCCGTCCTTCGGGTGAGACGTTAAACCGAGGCCCTGACTCTCTGTGGTCACAAAAAATCCCAGGATGTCTTTCGAAAGAGTAGGGGTGTAACCCCGGCATCCTGGCCAAATTTGCCCAGTAGCCTCTGTCCACCATGGCCTCCTAATCATCCCCATATATATATACCAATTGGCTTCATCACTGTCTCCTCTCCACCAGTAAGCTGGTGTGTGGTGGGCGTTTTGGTGCCATATGAGTGCCGAGAAAAGCGCTATATAAATGTAATGAATTATTATTATTATTACTATTGTGTTTTCACCAGAGCATCAACCGATTGTCCCCAAGACAGCAACAAGGATCCTACTGCAGACCAGACAACTCCCAGCTTAGAGCCTTTGAAGGAATCTACCCACGAAGAACCTGAAAATGATGTCCAGCCTGTTCTCCATGAGGATGATCCAGCAACTCCACCATGCAGCACTGAAACCTGTGGTGAACGCATCCAATCTCTTGAGCAAGAATGCCAAGCTCTGAGGACAGAAAATATGTTGTTGAAGGAAAAAATGAATAGGACTACACTGAATGAGATGAGCTTGGATAACAATGATAAAAGGGTTAATACTCTCACTGGTTTATCAACATATTCAATTCTCATGACAATTTTTCATATTGTGGCTCCTTTTCTCAAAATTAAGTCTGGTTTAACATGTTTTCAGCAGTACATGTTAACATTAATGAAGCTTAGAATGAATTTGTCATTTGAATTTTTGGCTTATTATTTTGGCATTGACTCAACCACTGTTTCAAAGCTCTTCAAACACTGTATTAGTGTGATGCATTGTAGACTGGTGCCAAGTCTAGTGTTGTGGCCTGACAGAGAAAGCTTAAGAAAATCTCTTCCATATGCATTTCGAAACAGTAGCTTTGAAAAGACAGTTTGCATTATAGATTGTTTTGAAATATTTCTAGAGAAACCCAGTAGATTGCTAGCCAGTGCTCAGTGTTACTCATCATACAAATCACACCACACAATGAAATATTTAATTGCAATTTGCCCTCAAGGTTCCATTTGTTTCATTTCTACTGGATGGGGAGGTCGCACAAGTGACAAGTTCATCACAGAACAAAGTAACTTTTTATCTCATTTGCTCCCAGGGGATGTAGTTTTAGCGGACAGAGGTTTCCTGGTTAAAGAGTCCATTCAGAGATGCCAAGCTGAATTAAAGATTCCTGCATTTATTTGTGGAAAGAAGCAGTTAGATCCTGTTGACTTGGAGAACACCAGATGTCTAGCCTCTCTTAGGATACACATTGAAAGGGTAATAGGAGTTCTCCGTCAAAAGTACACAGTCTTGCAAAGCACTGCCCCCATAAGTTTCATGGACATAGACAGAGAAAATGATGTGACCTACCTTGACAAGATTGTGAGCATATGTTGTGCACTTACAAATGTGTCTGAATCTGTGGTGCCCTTCCAGTGATGGGGATGTACAGTAAATTGAACTGATGTGACTGGCTACAGATGTGTTTAACCAGGAAATAAACCTTTTTGAGACCCACTTCTTGCTTCCTTGTGACATTACTTTTGATTATTTTGATCACTCGCTATTCTGATGCGATCACATTCTGTTTACAGATCAAGCTGCACATCCACCCATTCCAACTGAGTTCCACCCAAGCAGATATTTGTTCTGGTGTGTTTGCTATAAATGACCTACTACCCGTGCTTCATATCTTTGATCGCTACAGATACAGATATAGCTTATTGAAATTATATGCAAATTTTGTATGAGCAGTCAGAATGACTGCCATGGCCATTCTAGTAGTTATAGAATTCTGGTAGTTCTAACTACCAGAATTCTATAACTACTAGAATGGCGATGGGAGTCATTCTGACTGCTCATACAAAATTTGCATATAATTTCAATAAGCTATATCAAATCTAAGAATAAATGGATCTGTAATGTTAGGATAGGTAATAATGAACATCAGAACACTACATTTTAATTCTAATGTATGTGAAAATATTAGTTAATCCACAACCACAGAACAGCTATTGTAATTACAGATACAGATGCTTTGTAAAATGAAAACAAATGTATCCATCCTTGAATAATAAATTATAGCCTAATTAGTTTGTTTTATTTTTGAAATATCTATTTTACCAGGGCTAATGGTATGGGCTAAGAAACTCAAAAGATTGCATAATGATGGAGAAGAGAACAATATTGGTTTAACAACTGTTTATTCATAAATAAGAGAGTACAGTATCAGCTACTACTATTTACTAATTTCATAGTCTCCTCACTAAGTTTTTTTTTCTTTTTTTGGCATTGATTATTTTTCGGCAGCTGGGACATACCCACTGTTTTGGGACCCTTTTCATGCAAAGGCAGGTTTGGTGAAACTTTGTAACTGAACAAAAGCCTGATGCACAGACCAACATGTTCCCTGCTTCTGGTTCACGGCAGTAGCACCACTGTTGTTGACTATGATCAAATGCTGCTGGTTTTGGTGCAGAAAAATATTTGGCTAGCAGCTCTGGAATCATACATTTTTTAAAGAAGTCACAAGCACATTCCAATTCTTTGTCAAAGAATGCTACATCAGGAGTGACACGTTCAACAAAAGGTGAAGTACTTTCTTTTTCAGTCCACAGAATGAAATCACAATATGGTTTGTCAGTAACAAATAGCTGCATCTGTACTTGATAATAGTATGCATGGTCCCGCTTTAGTCAAATTTTTCCTTGCGCATCTTTTTCAAGGCAAAAGTGTGCAACAGAATTTGCTGCCTCATTAACAGAAAGGTCCTTTACAGAAAATGGGCACTTAATTTCAATGACACCTGAACCACAGCAGCTGCAGGAAACATATCCATCAGGTGAGGCCCCAATAAATGGGTGCAGGGGTGAAATCCTGAATCCAGCTGTTCCTACCATGACATCCGTGTGTGAGAGGCGATGCTGCATTTCATAGTATTTTCTTGCCAAATCCTCGTGCTGACATCCCCATCTGAAGAAACAACAATAACATTAGTTTTGGACAATAGTAATGCCACTCCACATTGGTACCTCCCTGGTCTTTCAAATTGATACTACTTGTTTTTACACTCATGCTTTTTTAGAATAGTACCGTACTTCCTGGATTTACCCTCCCTGTTATTTTACATACATGACATTCACTTGATTGTACACCATCTGAAAATGACAATTAAATACACAGGAGCAGTTACACACTCCATGGCCCATTTTCCCTAACTCTACCTGATAGCCTCACTGGTGAAACTATGTGACTTTGGGTAACATATTTGTCTTATCAGAGACACTGCAGGCTT